ATGAATGGTGTGCATGTGTGTGTGTGTGTGTGTGTGTGTGTGTGTGTGTGTGTGTGTAAGAGAAAAAAAAGGTCAGGGGAGATGGTATAGGAGCAGATACAGACACACAGAAAGAACCCAAAATCTTCCTGTTTAATTAAAATATGGTGAAGCAATATTTTAACATAAAATCTCCTTGGGTATAGTTCTGAGATGCTGAGGAGCCAGCAGGACATCAGAAATACAAGCAGTATTTGTAGAGAGCATCCTCCCCAGCTGCTTATCAAATGAAGTGGTGAAGAGTTAATCTAACCTCAGTATCAGCAGAGAAGGCCTGCTAGGTGAGCACACCGTCCCTTGTCCCCATCCACATGTTCATTACAGCAGCTTTTCAGGAAAACTTAAGTTCCTCCAAGATAATAACCAAACCACAGAGACAATGCAGCTAGGAATCTGTAGGATATGAGCACAAGAGAGGAACAAGAACAGGAATAAAATCAAGATTTAAAAATAAATCAGCCCTGATTAGGGCTGGAGACATGGCTCAGCAGTAAAGAGTGCTTGCTGTTCCACTGGAGGAACAGAGTTTGGTTCCCAACATACACACTGGGCTCACAGCAACATGTCAGTACAGCTCAAGGGGGTCTGAGGCCCTCTTCTAGTCTCTGTGGGTACCTGAACACACACGGTACACATTAACACAGGCAGACACACATACACATAAATCAATCTTTTTAAAATGTCACCTGTAACAAAGCATTTTATCTAGACAGAAAGGTGGACAGTAGTATGAGTGCATTAGTGTCATTTACTAGTGATAAATCTAGTCACAGGCATGGATGTACCTTATAATTACAAGTTAAATATAAAATACACACAAAGAGCTAACATTGTAGACAACATCCAAAGAAATTGAGAATTAAGATCATTTTAATTTTAACTCATTACACAAGAATATAAACCATTTAAATTATCAGAAGCAATACATACAAAAACATAGCAACTAGACAATCTCAAGTTTTGGAAAGCTATAAGGAGAAAAAAAATAAAAACTAATGTAGTATGTCTCTGCTCAGACATACCTCTTGTATGCATGTTCAAAACTATATATGGGATTATGTCACCTATTAAAACAAAAGATTGGCAGATTGGATCACAAAGTGAAATTCAACTCTGGACTGCTTGCTTCCTGAGAGCAAAGTAATTCATGAACATTAACAGTAAAGAGGAACAGTGGTGCGACTGGGAAAATGCAAAGAGAGAGAGCAGGTGCCACAATCAAACAAGGTTGGATCCAGGTCAAAATCATTAAGCAAGTCAAAGAAACACGTTGAATGATGAAAGCTGTTTCCTGATAAATACAATGAATATGAATATGAAACAAAGGAAAAGCACCAATATTTGAAAAGCAAAAATGAGAGAGAATGGCAGGTCATGAAAGGTGAAATAAAAAATATAAGTAAAGCCTGCAGTAATCTAAATATTATTGGGAATAAGCAATAGATTAATATGCTAAAGAATAGACCTCCCCTTCAAGGACTCATGGGCCATTCAATAAAATTGGCTGCACATTAGGCCACAAAGAAAATAACATTTCCCCTCCCTGTTCCAAATACCTCACAAACATTAACCCACTTAATTCAAACACTATTTTTAAATTATTATATATATTTAATTTGTGTGCATGTGGGCACGTGTTTCGTGGCATGTGTGCGACAATCAGGGAACACACTGGGGGGTGGTTTTGTCCTTCCACCATGCAGGTCATAAAGATTGACCTCAGGTCGTCAGGATTAGCTGCAGTCACTTTCACTAGGTGAACCAACACACCTGCCCAATATCAGTGCTTTAAGTTGTGTATCTTACAATATATACATATATTATACATATTATTATTCCTATTTTACAAATTAGAAAACTGAGACACAAACTGCTTAATTGACTTTGTGTAAAGGTCACAGAGGGTTTCATAGCAAGCAACAGAAGTAGAGTTAGAGAACCAGGCAACCTAGTTCTCACTATATAGTTTTAACCTCAAGGTCAAGAAACTCTTTAGCAAACTCAACAGAACCTGTGTGTGTGGTGTGTGTGTGTGCACGCAAGTGCGTGTTTTCTGTTTTGTTTTTGAGCCAGGGTTTGTGTAGCTTTGGCTGTGCTGGAACTTGGTCTGTGATAACAGGCTGACCTCAGACTAACAGAGATCTGTCTGCCTCTGCCTTCCAAGTGTGTGTGTGTGTGTTTTAAATTTTTGAGACAGGGTTTCCCTGTGTAGTCCTGGTCTTCCTGGAACTCTGTATACCAGCCTGGGCTCAATCTCAGGCCTATCCCTGCCTCCTGAGTGCTGGGATTAAAGGCATGACCACCAGGCAAAGTTTAATACTTTCAAAATTCACAAGATAGCTGGATGTGCTATGACATATCTATAATAACCTCATCACCCAGGAGATGAGTTAGAATGGTCAGTAGTTAAGGAACAGTCTTAACTATTCAAGCTTGAAAACAAAATAAAATAATTACACCTATAACTTCACTAGGATGAAACTTTCCCTTTAGATATGTTCTTAAAATGTAAAGTTACTGATACAACTTCTCAGTTAATGCAAATCTTTCTTGAAATGATTTATTTTATGTACATTGGTATTCTGACAGCTTGTATGTGTGTGTGAGGATGTCTTCTGGAACTGAAGCTATAGACAGTTAGGAACTGCCATGTGGGTACTGGGAACCCGGGACCTTTGGAAGTGGGCCCAGAGGTCTCAACTACTGAGCCATCTCTCCAGTCCCTGTTAATGCAAATCTTAAAATGACCGTATTAATTGCCTATTGATACAGCAAAAGAAAAAATGAATCATATTAAGGATTGAAAACCAGCCAGGGATGTTGGTGCATGCCTTTAATCCCAGTACTAGGGAGGCAGAGGCAAAAGGATCTCTGAGTTCAAGGCCAGCCTGGTCTAAATAGTGAGTTTCATGTCAACCAAGTTGTGGAAAGCCTTAAGAGTCCATCTCAAAGAGAAAAGCAAATTAAAACAAAAACTACTTCATTCAGCACTGATAGATACAATATGATACATATGCTTTTTGCCAAATAAACTAGCCAAAAACTTGTTCTTGGTGATGTCACAATCTAAACTGTTACAGAGCATTTAGAATGAAAAAATGTGAAACACTTTTATGCTAGATACATGTAGCAAACCAGTTTGTTTGTTGTTTTATTGAGACAGGGTTTCTAGGTGTAGCCTTGGCTGTCCTAGACTTACTTTCTGGACGAGGCTGGCCTCAAACTTACAGAGATCGGGCCTGCCTCTGACTCCCAAGTGCTGGGATTACAGGCATGAGCCACTACTTCTGGCACAAACCAGTTTTATATAGTTATTACTGTGTGTGTAGGAAAATATATTCTAAACTAGAAATTAAAATTTAAACAATTCTAGGCCAACAAGATGACTTGTGAGATAAAGGCAAATGCTGTGCCAGCCTGGCCACCTGGAAGGAGAGAACAGATTCCACAAAGTTGTCCTTTGAACTCCATCATTATTTTTACTCTGTGCTACACAGTAAGGTACATTAGACTTGTGTTTGGGGGCACGCATGCGTGTGTGTGGACAATGGGTTACAGTGTAGAAACTACTTACGCCCTTTTTTTTTTTTTTTTTTTTAGACAGGGTCTCACTACTTAGTTCTGGCTGTCCAGGAACTCTGTGGATTAGGCTGGCCCCACACTCACAGAGATCCACCGGCCTCAGCCTCTTGAGTGCCGATAAGAACAGCTTATGCCAGCAATTAGAATCTACTTCTTATGTAGACTGAGGTTGAAATTATTGGGAAAGTACTCAGCAGATGATAATGTTGGATGAGGGTATACCTACAGACGAGCTTGGCACAAGGACAAACAGACTGCAATCTTTGGAACAAACTGCAAAAACTGAAGACAGGTTTAGAGCTCACTTTAGAGTGTTTCCGAAACATTAATTGCCCCATTGTAACACTGTCAGAAACAGAGGTCCAATCAAAATCAGGGGTAGTGCAAGAAATGATGGAGATAAAACATGGTGCCAAGGAAATATTGCAGCATTTTAAAGTTAGAAGAGATTCTTCACCATCCTTGTTGTTTTCAGATAGGGTCTCACTATGTAGCTCTGGCTGGCTTGGAACTCACTAAGTAGACCAGTCTGGCTCCACCTGTCTGAGCCGGGCATGCCCTTAATCCCAGCACTCAGGGAGGCAGAAGGCAGAGCTCTGTGAATACAAGGCCAACCTGGTCTGCAAAGTCCAAGACAGCTAAGGCTACACAGAGAAACTCTATCTCAAAAAAAAAAAAAAAAAAAAAAAAGTGCTGGCTGGCTTGGAGCTGGTTGTAGCTGGTGTTGAACAGTCTGCCTCTTTCTGAGACTAAAGGTGTGCACCTCCACACCTGGTTTAGAGCTACGAGCGACTTTTGAAGATTTCATCACCATTTGGTACATCTTTGGAAAGGAACAGAAGAGCAAATACCAGCCTATTAAAAATATCTATCTATATCTCTTTGCCTCAGCTCCTCAACATCCAATGTAGCTAACGCAATTAACAAGCTTGGGTTTCCTTGAGACATGTAAAGAGAGCTTTCAAATTCACTTTCTCCTGAAGAGATTAAAAGGGCCAGTAATTCTCATCCTTTAAAATCTGCATTCCAATTCGTCTCCCCCAGATGCTCCAAGGAAGCCTAACCAGCATTCCTTCCCACCCAGAAATGAGCCATCTAACATTTGTTTCCCTGAGAGTGTGTCCCCTAAAATAACACCAAACCCTGCTAAGACGTGCAAGTCTTCGCGAACTGTTCTTTTGCCAGTTCCATTTCCCAACTGGGGCGCGTCATTCATTGCGCGTCTCATCGCCATGCGCAACGCGGCGAGGGAGAAATGTGGGAGGCAGCGGTGTGGGAGGCAGCGTGGCACTTTCGGGGGGAGGGGGTCTGGGGCGAGTCAAGCCTTCGCCTTTCTACCCTGGACACCTCCGCAGGGGCCCGGGCACCGACCGGGCAGGCCCCGCGGCCCGGCCGCGAGTCCTTCACCCCTTTCCAGGGTCTGCCGGAGTCCTCAGCTGACAAGCCTGCTCCCTGTTGCCCAGAGCCAGAGGCCGACGTCGGGCGGGACCCGGCGCCATGACTGGGTCTGTCCCAGGCACATCACGACGCTCACCCCGAGGGATCCGCGAGCGTGCCTCGGTTTCCGGGAGAGAAGAGGAAATCACTCCGGGAACCCCAAAGCCTTCCTCTGGAGCTACAGCGTAGCTAGCGTCCCCGTTGCCACGGAGACAGGGCTGTCTGTGACGTCACTTCCGCCGGGCTGTCTGGACTTCAGACTGTTGAGAAGAAATCTGAGCAACAGCCACGACTGTGGACGCGAGCGTCTCCGGTGTGCGCATGCGCCCGCTCAGCGGCCTGCTTCTATTTATGTGGGGGATCCAACATGGCGGCCGCGGCGACCCTGGCGATGGTGGCGGAGCCCATCAGAACGTTGTAGCGGGGACAGGGACCCGGTCCGCACTCACGGTGGCGTCCGCGGAGACGGCTGAGGGTGCCGGAGGGAAGAAACGTGACGGAGAGCGGAAGGAAAGGCGGGCGGGCACGCCGTGCGGCGTCGAGGCGAGAGCCGGCTCGAGCGAGCGCCGAGGGCCAGAACAGTGGGGATGGCGGAGCCGCGCAGAGTCGCGTTCATTAGCCTGTCACCGGTGAGGCGGCGCGAGGCCGACTTCGCGGGCGCCGAGCGCGAGCCCCCCCGGCTGGAGCCGCAGCCGTACCGCGAGCCGGCCCGGGCGGAGCCGGCCCCCCGCGCTGACGCGCAGCCCCCGGCGCGCGACAAGCCGCTCCCCCAGCGCGAGGGCAGCCGCGCCGAGCCGCCCATGGCCCTGCAGCGCGAGCCCCCGCGGCCGGAGCCGCCGCCGCCGCCGCTGCCCCTGCAGCCCGCCCCTCCGCGGGAGTCGGCTTCCCGGGCGGAGCCGCCGCCGCGACCGCCGAGGGAGACGGTGCGCCTGGAGCTGGTGCTCAAGGACCCCACGGACGAAAGCTGCGTGGAGTTCAGCTACCCGGAGCTGCTGCTGTGCGGAGAACAACGGGTACAGAGGGTCCCTCTCTCCCGGCCGCCCCACAGCCCGGGCGCCTCCGGACCGCCGCCTGCCCGGGCTGCTCTGCACTTCGCTCGTCCCGGGGGTGGGGTGGCGGGGGCTCGGCGGCTAGACGGGGTGGGAGCCGCGCGGCCCGGCCCGCCCGGGTGGCCGAGGCCGCCCCCTCCGCACCGCGCCGAGCCGGTGTTCCTGTGCACCTTTCGAAACCTCAGCTTTTTCCTCCTTTTCCTTTCTGTTCCCCTCACCAAATCCCGAGGCCCCGCGAGCCGCGCGGCTGGCTTCTTGTGGCGCTCCGTCTGTCGTTCCGGTAGAAGGGAAGCGAAAAAACCTTGGGGGACACGCCCCCCGGTCTGAAGCGGAGAGATTGTGTGACCCCGGCTCATCCTCATCTTTCCTCAACCCAGCTGTACCGGGCGCCAGGGCTGCTGAGATGGGCTCGTGGCCGGGTGGTTTATTTTCCTTGATTGAAGGGGATTTCAGAGAAATTAAACATTTTCAGAAACTAAAGATTCCACGTTAGGAATGAAAAAGTGGATTCGTTAATGTGGTTACGCTCGTGTTGGTAAATATTGTTAGCTTTGTGTGTGTTGAGTTTGTGCATATTGTCTTTGAATGGAAAGGTCTCCTGTCTTACTCGGTGGCTGTCCACTCATATTATTTTTTGGCTCCCATTAGTTCCAGTTGGGGATATTTGTCCGTTGCGATCTTTTGGAGAATTATGGAAAAACGTTGGCTTTGAATTTAAAAAAAAAAAAAAAAAAACTTAGGAAAATACATAGGTATCTCTTTTGAGGGAAGCGGTGAACAATGGGGATTAGGACAGCGGTTTGTCGGTGACTGTAATTTTTATTGTTGTGGGTTGGTGATCTTTAGGAGGGGGACTTGGTAGAAAGAGACAGGCAGGCAGACAGACAGACATTGCTCTCTTGTTTAGTGACTATACTCTTTATTAGGCTGGGCTTTTGAGCGGGTCTAATGGACTCCAGAATTCATTAGTTCCTTTCATCAACTATCTTTGTTGTTGCAGTGAAGGACTCTGGTCAAAAGTCTCACACTGAATAATATCGTTAGTCTGTATTTTGTGCCAGATAATCTTTTGATGGCTTGTTGCAAGTATTGTTGTGTGGCCATCATTACTAAATGTTTTCAGAGAAATCCAATTGTTAGGGGTAGAGACCATTTTGGTCACTTTCACATTACGTCCTGTCCTGTAGACTCAGTTCATTCAGAATTCTTTTTTATATAAACATGGCGTTTTTGTTTATTAGATTGCAGCATTTTTTTAAAAAATAAAATTAAAATGAAGGTGTCCAATTTTTATAATTTCATAAGTTACAGATGCAAAAACATTTTTTAGCTAGGCATGGAGCACTCTGAAGGCTGGGGTGGAAGAACGGAGAGTCCAGGGCCACGTAGTGAGGCCCTGCCTCAAAAAACAAAACCGGGTGACAGAACGGCTCAGCAGATAAATGTCCTTACTGCCAAGCCTGAAGACCTGAGTTCCATCCCCAGCATGCACGTGGTGGAGGAGAGTCGCCATCTGCAAATTGTTCACACACACAAATAAGTGTAAGAAAACGGCAAGACAAAAGCCATCTTTAGGTAAAAATACATCATACTAGTTAGTGTTTTGTCGTTGTGCAAACATTGTAAAAATACCTACACTAACCTAGATGTTTTTTTGGTTTGGTTTGGTTTTTTGAGACAGGGTTTGTTTGTGTAGTCCAGGCTACCCCGGAATTCACTCCTAGACCACTTCTCAAACTCAGACCCGTAGCGCTGGCGTCAAGGGTGTGTGCTGTCATGCCAGGCTAACCTAGGTGTTTTCATCTGCTATCTACTTAGCTGTATGGTACTTACCATTTAGCCTGCTCTACAGTATTTACTGTATTTACAGTATTTACTGCTCTGTGGTATTTACTGTTGTATATGTGATCTTTCCCTTAAAGCAATGCTTGGTATGTGGCTATACTTTTATGTTCTAGGAGACAGGTGAATTGGATTTAATTCTGTTGTTTGCTTCTTACATACTATCAATTTAGAGATTTATTGGTCCAATTTTCTTATTGTGTATTCAGCCATATATCTTATAATTCCACAAAAGAATTCTGTTTTTTATGTGGTATGCTTTTGTGGGGAAAGTTTGCCACATTTTCCTATGATTAGTCTCACTTAGTGTATTTATTACCTAAGAACGTATAAGTAACACATAAGTAACACAATTCTGTAAGTGAATTGTGATGGTTCCATAAAGGGAAATCCTAGCAGAGTGACCAACTGGAGACTGTCTGGAGATTGGTTTTCCTCCTCTGGGAAGCCCCCCCCTCCGCTGAGACTTAACCCAAGGGCCTTGAACATGCTAGGCCAGGGATATGTTATATTACTGACATGACTCCAAGTAACACCCCATCCTTTGTTTTTGAGACAAGATATTTTAAATTGCTTAGGCTGGCCTTGAACTTACTTTGTAGCCTATATTGGCCTTGAATTCATGATATTGCTGTTTTAGATTCCTAAGTAGCTGGGATTACAGCCCTGAACCATCAGGCTTGGCTCAGATTTATTTTTAGTTATAATTTTTCTAAAATATTTTAATTTTGAGTTACTGTAATTAAATACTGTACCCATAGTAGGCTAAGTAAAATTAGAAGAAAAAGTCCCAATTTTTGTTTGTTTTTGTTTTGTTTTGTTTTCAAGACAGGGTTTCTCTGTGTAGCCTTGGCTATCCAGGACTCCCTTTGTAGACCAGGCTAGCCTCAAACTCACAGTGATCCGCCTGCCTCTGCCTCCACGAGTGCTGGGATTACAGGAGCTCTCCACCACACCTGGCTTGTCTCAACTTTTAAATAGCCGTATATCAGTTAAAAGATTTGTCAAGTGGAAGTGGGTAGCTGTGGGCTGTTAAAACAACGATGTGTGTAAGTACCATCAGCACTGGGGTACATTTAAGTAAACTCCCTACCTGCTAAATGAAGTGTGCAATCCCAATTAACAGAAATACAGCTGAGGTGTTTCCACATAGATGAGCAAAAGCATATTTTGGCTAACTCTAAAAAGCAAGATCACCTGCAGGTTAGGTCAGCCCTTTGCCTTGCTCTTTATGGTATTATGTCATAATTGTGGTTCGAGTGGTGACTGAGACGTTGGAGTCATCCCCATTCTGAAAGATTAGTTTGTTTGATATTGCTGACAGTAGTCCATTATGAAGTACCTTGTGGACATGACAAATACATTAGAAAAAAGTTCAGTTCTTAGCAAACCAAAAAATCAGATAACCTGAGCACTCATTTGAGAACGCAGTGAATTAAATGTTTCCTATAAAGAGAAAAACAAGGGGTGATGTAACTGCACTGTTACAGAACTCTGTGGTATTCTGATGCTTGTCACTTCATATGTTGGATGAGACCTATGAAAGACTTGAACATGCTAAGGTCAAAGGAGAAAATCATTGCATAGACTTTACACATAAGTAGCTGATAGTTTGCAATTTGTTTCACCTGCAAATTATCAGCTACTGCTACTGTGGTGGGGGAGATTCTTTAGATTTTTCTTGCGTTTTTAATTGGGAAAAAGTGATGATTCTTTGTGGGTGTTTGTTGCTTTGAAGTAAGGTTTTACTGTGTAGCCCAGGTTGGCCTCGAACTTCTGTCAGGCTTCCTACCTTAGCTTCCTGAGTGTTGAGATTGCCCCCATTATTCTTAACTCTAAAGGAGAAGTGAGTTTTTTTAATTTTATAGACCATATTGTAAACAAAAGATAGATCTTGATGCCTGTATTAAGTATACAGAATATTTTAGAACAGGCTGGATATGGTGATACATCTTTGAATCAGGGTACTAAGGCAGGATTGTGAGTTTGAGGCCAGCCTAGACTGTATAGTGAAATCCTGTCTTGAAAAAAATTTTAGAATGACATATACAGGTGATTCTTAGTTAGGAAAGGAAATAATAATACAAATCTTTGTTTATATTTGCATATGTAAAATAAGTCTGGCTGGATTGGGGATAAAGCTCAGTGGTAGAACTCTTGACTAGCATATGAAAGGTTCTGGGTTCAAGAAAATCCCCATCAGACTGGTAATAAAGACCTAGTATTTGGACTACACAGTGATGGGAGGGAACAATTTATAACAACAAAACATACTGTTTGCTTCAGTCCTTTGCACTAACTTTAGGGGGGACTACTATACCCCAAATTTAGTGTTTACTTTTCTTGCCAGACTGATTTTGCTAGTTTGTTTCCTCTTGGGTTGTTTGTGTTTCATTAATAATGCCAATTAGGATAAATTCTATAAATATTTATTACTACATTTAGAAATTGATTATAAAATTAACTCCTTAAAATCTTAAGGAGTCTGTGTTTATTCTGATGTGTTGTGAACCCTCTGTCTTCATCCTGCCCATGTTTCCCTGTTATGTTTTAGGCTGATTTTTTGTGTATCTTCGGTCTTTATATCTATGATGAAGTACCTTAGTTCCATATTTGTCCTGGTTGAATATTTTTATGTTTATCATTTTTAATTATTTAAAGTTGCTATATCAGTTTTTTCAAAATTAACCCTTTAAAAATTTACTTTCCGATGGGTGTGGTTGTGCACACTTTTAATCCCAGCACTAGGGAGGGAGAATCAGCAGGATCTCTGAGTTCGAGTCCATCCTGGTGTATGTAGTGAGTTCCAGGTCATCCAAGACTATGTAGTAAGGCCCTACCTATCTCCAAAATACAAAACAAGCAAACAACGAGACCAATTTTACTTTCAAAGTAAAATTCTAAAATTGGATAAAAATTGTATTTTTTAAAAGTAGCTCTTAGCTTTTTTGTGCACTGAAAAGCATTTATATAAAACTTGACTACTGCAATAGTAAGCTGAGGTCGACGCAAGACTGCTCACCTGAGTTCAATCCCCAGTGTCCACAGGAAGGTGCAAGGAGAGAACCAGCCTCACAGAGTTGCGCTGTGACCTTCACATGTGTGCACATGTCCACCCACCCACATCATGCAGCACACAATAAGAATACATTTTTAAAATGGCAAAAGTAGTAAAGTTAGGAAAGCATACAAGTTTATCTGTTCTAGCAAGTGGGTGGCGACTGTGGGATATTTGCTTATTGTGTGTGCATGGTCTGTGTGTTTTAAACTGTATTTTAGAAGTGTTTCATTCTGTACTGTTAGGAGGAAGCCATGATGAGCTCTTGCACATTTTTTAGCTTTATATATTTTTTGAATAGGTATCTACTGATGGGAGACAGGTGATATAGAAATTATTGATTATAAGTTCAGCAGAAAGCCAGGACAGCCGCAGTAATAACTTGTAAGCATAAGATGAGTCTTGATTCTACAATTAATAATTTGAATGCCTTTTTAGGGATATTTCATGGCTGAAGCAGTCTACTGTTTAGGGGTAATATCAAAATAAAATTTATTTTTACCTAATGTTGGTCTGGGGGAGAGATTGCTTTATTTGGGATGGGGTCATTTTGCAAGTGGAGCAAATACAGATTTTTAAATTCTTGACCATCAAAAAATTGTACAGTTTTGTGTAAGTCCTAATGTGAACCATCATTTTAAAAAATGGCTTTTAATGCTTTTGACCTATTTATTTATATTAGGAAAAATTGATTCATTGAAATTTAAAGGTATATTCAAGTCTGGAAATAATACAACAGATGTAGTTACAAAAAACTGTAACATTAATAACTTTGATATATATTAAATATATAGTTCAGTTATACTGAACTATAGTTGATATGTGATTAGTATATGGCAGTGTAGTGGAAGTGGTGCTAATACTGTGTTTCTTTCCCCGTTTCCTTTAAATCAGAAGAAGCTTGTTCATACAGAAGACCCATTTACTGATGAGCATAAGGAGAGGCAAGAAGTGGAAATGTTGGCTAAGAAGTTTGAAATGAAATATGTGAGTATAATAGTGATCACCTAGGTAATTTTACCCTATTGGCCTGTTTTCTTTGTGCAGCTAGTTGGGAGGCCCTAAAAATAGCAACTGCTTACTTATCTTGATCTCACAAATTGAAGCTGAATGAATGGTTTTGACAGCCAGACAGTTTTACAGGTTTGTCCTGACTGTGTTAATAGGCTGTATTTGTTATAGTCAGTCCTTCTATAATCTAGGCAGTTTGCTTAACAAATCCTACAAAAAACCAAACCTAGCCTAGAAGGTAAGAAATATTTACTGTCTTTACAGGTGAAGGAATGAGGCTCTAAGCCCAAGGTTAAGTGAGTGGTCCATGGTCATGCAAGGTCAAGAATAGGCAACACATTCAGCTGTGTATAGCTCTAACCCTGCTCCCCTACTACTGCTGATGAGAACTTTTTTTTTTATAGCAGTTCATCACCCTTCTTCCTTTTTAAGAGAGTGCGTGGACTGTAAGAATCTTAAGAATCCATCAGAATCAATATAAAACTTCTCTATGTCATACTTACCTTAAATATTGATGCATATCCTGTATTCCATGCAACAATATAGCAGCTTTTTTTAATAGAAAATATATAAATAATATGTTATAAAAGTATACTATAATTTTCATATAGCATTTTCCTTAACTTTTAGCATAACTATTCATAGAAAGCTTTAATTCTATGCTGTTTGTCACGGCTTTAACGACTCTTGATGAGTTGAGAAGTGAGGCTGCATTTTCCTCTGTGAGCATTAGAAATGCTTCACAGAGATAGGATGTCAGTATTAACTGGCTTTGCCTTTCCTGTTAGCCTCAAACTGCCACTTGAATTCGAGTTGACACTTTTTGGCTCCTGCGTGAGACAAATACCAGAATAGAGTAGAATTTGAGTCGGGTTTAGGCCACTCTTTGACACCAACAAATTATGTCCTTTGGGTGGAGTTATTTTGCTCTTTAAGCCCCAGCTTTCATATCTGTAAACTGAGATTCTTTTTAGAGTCCTTCTAGGTATATATTCTGTAGCTCATCACTAAAACAAATGAAATGGTAGGTGTTCTTAAAGAAAAGATAACAAAAAAAATCTACTCTTAATTTGTAGTGAGGATTTTATTTTTTTAATCACATTTTATTTTTAGTTTTTGGTTTTGTTGTTTTAAGACAGTCTCACTTTGTAACCCAGGATGGCCTGAAACTCATGATCTTCCTGTCTCTTATCTCATAGTTAATGTTGCAGATGCTAAAGCTAAACATCCTAGGTTCTGGCTATTGTTTTAAGATGATTCCTAGGTGGTGTATGTCAGAGCAGGGAACAGAGTTCATTTTAATGGATTTAGACTTGTTCTCTTAGTTTGGTAGGACAAGGTATAACTTGTGATGCCCAAAAGATTACTCTTGGTGATTTCTCTATTTTTGTTCCTCCACATGTTTTGAAAACTTCCATTTCTAGGATTGGATATAAATTCAGTAATCTCCGTGAAAATGTCTAGCACAGTGCTGCACATGGGACTCTGAGTTGCAGGTCAGGGTGACAACCCAGTGCGACATTAACTTTGTCTGTTTCTTTGTCTCTCAGTGTCCATCTCTCTGTCTGACATACCCTCTCTGTATAGTTCTAAAACTTGTGGGTTTTATTTCGGTGTAGACTGTGAAATATGTTATACTGGCGAGATGGCTCAGCAGATAAAGGTACTTTTGCCTGATGGACCTGAGTCCGATTCCTGAAACTTGAGTGAGGAAAGCTGACTTTTACAAGTAGTTCTCTGACATCCACATGTGCATCGTGGTCTGTGCATGTACTTTCCTCCAAAATAACTAAATACATGTCAAAGTATTTTCTTTCTTGCTTGCTATCTATCTATTTATTATATGTCTGTCTGTTTGTCTATCTTATCTATCTATCTATCTATCTATGCTTCCCAAGTGCTAGAATTAAAGTTGTGTGTGCCTGGGGGAAAAAAAAAAAAGAATTCTGTTCAGTGACTTCACAATCAATTGTGAAATACTTTCAACAGTTCCCTCGGATAAGGCACTGGGAAGGGGATATTACAAAAGCATGCAATCATTTTAAGAATTTTAATCACTCATTGGTGAGTTGTAACTATTGAGAAGATAGAGCATTTGGGGAGCTTCCCAAGATCTGGTTTTCTTCTGTTTTGTTTTTTTATTGGGTATGGTCCCTAAGACTCAAATTGTTAAAGTTTTGTATACAGTTTGGGCAAACTTGTTAAGATCACTACAAAATGAATTCTACTTGTAAAACACAAATACCAATGAATTTAGTGTTCTGTGGACTAACCCTGGTCTGAACCCAGGCTGATGTGGTGCTGTCTGTGAGTTCAAGCTGGTCTAAGAGCAAGCACCAGGACATCCAGAACTACATAGAGAGACCCTGTCTTGAAAAAACACAAACAAAATAAAATAAAATAGTAGTGTGGAACCAGCCCACCATAATTGTAGGTTCTGCCTCCGTGGATTCAACCACTGAAGATCAGAAGTATTAAAAAAAAGTGTACCTGTGTTTTACATGTGAAGACTTTTTGCTTAGTATTATTCCCTAAACCATACAGGTTTATAACTATATAAACTTTCACATTGCGCTTGGGATTATAAATATCTAGAGATAAAGTATATAGCAGGATTCAAGTGGGTTATATATTTTATATATATACATTTTATATAGGATATTTGAACATCTGGAGATTTTGTTATGTTAGGGTTCCTGGAACCAATTCAGGATATCAAGAGTTGAATGTATATTAAAATCATAAAATTATCTTTTAAAACTTTAAGGGATAGGATAGTCTTAAAGGAAAAAGAAATCCTTTTTCAAACAGTACCTTTTTTAAAAATTCCTTTTTTTGAGCCATTTTCATTGTGTGGCCTCTGAGCTAAATATATTTTCAGTCTCCCTCTCAGACCTATTATGAGACAGCAGTTTTAGGACATGTGGAAGATCTTATACTCATAGTGATGGTTATCAAAATGTGTGTTAGTATTTCTGTGCAGGTAACTATTTCCGCTAATTTAAAACTGTAGGCTTTTTTATTAGGTTGAAATCAGCATGGATATAAAAAGATGTAATTGTAGAGGGCTGTGGTACAAATTGAGAAGTTTTGTAACCAGGGTGTTTACTTCCTTCTCAGTGATATAGCCTCTTACCAATTAATGTCCTGCTCGCTCTCTGCCAGAAGTCATCAGTGAACATTGATGCTTTCCTCTACTTATGTCACGGAGGCAATGGGGTCCTGTCCTAGGAATAGCTTGTTTTGTTTTTTTCAGTTTACTGATGTTGTAATCTTTCAGCATTGGCTTGAGATACTGATTATCAGGTTAAGCCAGTACTAATGACTGAGTCATCATGAAGGAGTGCTTAGAAAATGAACTTTAAAAGGGTTCTTCATTTGAGATTAACAACATGGAAGATATTTTTAATTTGTATGGAAGTACAATTTGATTTTGATAAGGTCTAGTTAATGTAATAAAAAGGGTTTAGAAAATTATGAATTAAGACTAATTTTGTTGCAGGAAACAGTCTTGCTAAAGATACTGAAAAAGTGATTCAATATAATGTTTAAAATTCACATTGCATACACTCCTTTTAGGCGTCTGTTGAATGTATCTTTCCAAGGCAGACTTACATTGTAGTGCAGGCCTGTCTTCATAGTACTTAGATGCTGACGTAGGAGTTAACATGTTTTGAGAACAGCCTAGGCTACATAGCAAGTTGTAGCTATCAGCCTGGAATTACAGATGGGTGTAAACTGCCTTGTGGGTGCTATAGTCAAACCCCCAGGCTTCTCTGCAGAGGCCACAAATGCCCATAACTGTCTGAGCATCTCTACAACCACTTGTTTTTAAATTTAAAAATTATATAGTTATATATTTTATGTGTTGTGTGTTTAGGTGCACACATGCATATTACATGTGTGGATGTCCGAGAACAGCTGTTGGAAGTCTGTTTTCTCATTCTACTGTGTAGGTCTTGGGGTATCAAGCTTTGTTGTCTGGCTTGGCAGCAAGTGTCTTTACCACTGAGCCGTTATTGTTGGCCCTTTGATGTTTAAAAACACTCATAGTGACCTTTCTCTGATTAACCTGAATTGTAAATAAGATTTTCAAACTGCTTTCTCACTCCTTATAAAGCCTTTAGTTTTTTAATGGCTGTCAGCATTTCATGGTTATGTGAAATATAGTTATACCATTTGATACTGTTAATAATAGGATGCTTGGTGAGATTACAATTAATATTATAATCAAAGCTTTAGTTAGTTCTTTTTGATAATCTTTTTAAGATTCACACTTAAAAACAAAAGGATTTACCCTATTTAACAGCATTACTATGCTGCTCCATTGAGTGCTAACAATTAAACAGTCATTTTCAGTGGCAAGAAGCTGGTAACCTTGACTAGACTCTAACGCATGTTCCTAATTTTACAAATAAGCTGTTTGTTCTTCCTTATTTGCTCATCACTAATACGGACTGTGCATTTGTTGTTTGTTTTGTTTTTAGATTGCCCCAGGCAAATTATAGTCAGCTAATTGTGTCTTATGCCCCTACTCTGAAAGTATTCGATGAACAGAAAAGGGTGGTTGTGATTTTAATTATCATCCTAGAAAAAAATTTACAAGTCCAGCTGAGGTATGAGAGATGGTAGGATTCAATGAGGAGTAAGATATAGTAGTAAACTTGATGGAAGCTAGGCTAGCCAAGGGATTGAGTACATTAGGTGAAAACAGTGACCAGCTTTCTAGACCTGGCAGTTAGGATGGAAAGGAAGCTGGAGGTGTGACTAAGCCTAAGCAAAGTTTTGTGCGAGACAGACTTGAAATAGGAATAGTAATTCTTGGTCTGACCCTAGTTCTGGCAAAGATTTTAACATTAAAAGGGGAGAGATTGAGAAGCAAGGAAAGTAGAGAAGAAAGAAATGAATGACACACTTTGAAGTTAGAATTATTGAGGTATAATTTAACTCTAGCTCATCAGTTTTAATTGTTCAGC